ACACCTAAGTTGCATTACAAAGAAGTTGTCCTCCACACACTTATTGTTTCCCCACCATCAGATGTTTATGGTCCCTGCAAAAGTCACCATCAGTTGGGCTCATCTCCAATCAGCCATGGTAGGTCAGGGTCCATCTTACTGTCTCCATCACTCATGCCCACCCATGGTGAGTCTAATCATGTTCACCAATCAGAACCTCTGCCACATCAGCTCTGTGGGTTTCCTCTCATGCAATCTGTACCAACAATGAGCACAGTCTGGGCTTCCTGATGTTTTCTATAGCATGGTGCCCCTCCCTGGAAGGGCACCATGCTATGGAAAACATCAGGAAAGGGCCCCACCTCAGAAGCCACAGTGATATTCATTAAACTTCTTCCTGCAAGTAATCCCTCTATTGCTCCTTCTACTCACCAAGCTTAGTGTCAGGGAAGATGCCAGTGGGGAGTATGAATCTTAGCTTCTCACTCCCAGACTCAGCTCCCAACCTGCTGTTGCCAAGTCTTGGGGACATCTATAAATGCCTTCTAAATAACTACCTTGGCCTATCCGCAGCCAAGAATTCCTCCGTAGAGTAGGCTACATCTGAGGCATCTATACTGAGATCTTAATCACAGAGGCGTTTAAAACATCTAGGCTACAAAAGAATTCCTATTATAAGGTTCAAATGAATTACCTTCAGACACTTGAGAGAGCTTTTTAGCAAGTAAATGTATTAAAGATTCTGATTTCCCCTTTTTTCTCCTACAGTTTGTTTGGCCTAAAGGTATGACATCTAATCTGCTACATTTACACTCTAAGTCAAAATTACCATTTTGTTTTTTTAATTTCTATTTCTAATGATACATTCTTGTCTATTCCTGGTTCATCTGGAGACAATGGTGAACTTAGAAGATGGAGGAGAAATTCTTGTCTTCCCTCTGCCAGTTGACACTTCCTTTCCAAGAATCATTTGCAGTTGCTGGGCTTTCTTGCTGTGACTCTATGCCCTGTTGTGTTACTTTATCATTTGTGACAAAAACAGTGGAAATAATTTGCTTCATTTTTATTATGAAGGCTTGACCAGGATACGTAGGGACATGATTACTGCTTTTTCTGTGGACATCATATTGGTCCAGATCATGTTCAACCAAAATTGAAGATGTAAAATCCTAGAACACACTAATCTATTTTAGTAGGTCACAGGAAGCATGCAAACCATAAAAACCACAATGAGCCAAAAGCATCTGCGTTGACAAGAGGCAAGAATTTCTCTATCTTCTAAAGGCACTAACTGAACAAATCCATTGCCCATTACTTAGGAAATTGCTAAGGGCATCATTAAAGTACTTCGGACTGTTGAAAAACCTTTTCTATCTCCTTGTCCCACCACCAATGATCTCTAGCTGTTTTCTCTCACATGTTCTTGCCATCCATGGAGTGGCAGAGAGGTTCTGAGTACAACTCTAACTTTCAGTTTCAATGGCCTAATCCCCAACTCAGCTGCTGAGCTTGAGTGTAAAAATAAGCAAGATCTTAAACATCTTATGGCCAGCATTCTGGGTCTTCTTTTGTCATTTGGGGAGCATAAACTATTTTCATTTCATTGGCTTGCAGAAGAATTGAGTTTCTCCTCATCCTTGCCCCATGTCACCTTGAGGTGACCACAGCCCTGCCTTCTGTGTAATCCTGCTTGGTGAGCAGGCACATCAGAGCTCAGTGACTTGTGATGTACTTCCCCTCAAGCCTGCTCAAAAGACTATACTCATCATTGAGATTGGGAACCTTAGAAACCATGAACCCAGTGCCAATGGGTAGATACAGAATTCTCAAACTCATGAAAAAGCATCTTTTTAACTCTCTCCACGTGCATAAAGAATTCTAAGATGTACTTATCAAGATTCCCAATTTTCTAACTACCTATTAATATATGGACAAGGTAAGAAGAAAGTTGCAAGAAAAAAATCTGTTTGACTTGACGGTTATGTGGTTATTGCCATGCCCCCCCAGATCCACTCTGAGTCCCAGGAAGCTGATTTTAGGGGCTACATTGCCTAGACTGTCCATTGTTCCCTCTTCCCATCTGGTTCAGCCACTGGGAAGCACTGGTAGGAGGTCAGAGTGGGAGAAGGAGGTTAGGATACTTTCTGCCCCTGCTGTCCTACTGCTTTGCTGAACTTCTAGTAGTGGCTGAACCATCAACCTGCAGTACTCAACTCCAGCTGTCAGTAGCACTCAAGTGGTATTGTTTATTCTTTTGATCCTTCTAGCTGTTAAGGAAGAAAAAATAAATGTTTCCTTAATGCTCATAAGTTCTTGGAATGGACCCCTGTAACAAAAGACAGATTACCAAGAGAAAAGAAAAGTTTATTAACATGCATATTTTATATATACATAGGAGATATCCAGGGAATGACTAATTCTCAAAGAGGTGACTTTGAATTCCAGCTCATATAGCATCTTCGACAAAGTTTAGTGACATTTTAGAGATATGACAAGACAAAGAAAATGAACTTTGAGCCTTTAGGGACAGCGACTTGTAGGAAGGCAAAAGGAATAAATGGAGATAAAGGCTGGTTAATAATGCTTGTTAATGAAGATTCCTCTGGTGCCATCTCCAGGTTCATAAGGATTTAAAGTTGTCTTCAGTGGTGAATTTTTTGTTTGCCCTGGCAGAAGGTGTGAGGTGAGTGCAGATCCCTTTTGTCTTTATAAGTCTATATTCTGCTTTCAGACAAATAAAGGGAGGGAGAGGAGCTTTGCTTCATCTGCTTCTACTTAATTGACTTCAGCTCAACGGTCCTTAGGCAAAAGAGGTACATTTTAGGGTAGCAAATTCTGGTGTCCCACAAAGCATAGGGATGACAGACCACCTCACCATCCCTATTGCTTCTCTTAAGCCTGCTCACCCCTCCAAAAATTATTTCATTCTATACAGTCTCTTCAAAATATTTGCCGAGGGTGCCCTCTCTTCCCTGTGTCAGGATAAGCCAAAGATTTGAATCCCGGCTCTGCAATTATCTACCTCTGTGCCTCTCCTTGTTTATGAAATTACAGGGCTGGAGATAAAGATCACAATGTGAAGACAAAATTGTAGAGCGGTACTAAATCAGCCAGAGCAAAATTTCTGGCTCTTGCCCTTCCCCATCCTGAGTTGAATCATAGGAACTGGTGGCAAGATGCCAGGGTCAGGAGATTCCAGAAGTGGCAGTAGGCTCAGTGTTACCAGGGCAGAGATGAGCTGTCTTATTATTGAAATCTCAGAGATATGCTCCAATTCTTGCCCAGAGACACATTGAGAGACAACTGGGGAACTTACTGTGCTCCTGAACAGGCAATGAGCTGTCTTCCAAGAAAAAGCCTGAGGCCCTTCAGGTCTCAGGTCTTACTTAGCAGAAATACCAGGTCTTACACAGGACACATGGTTACAACTGACTGAAATCTGGGCTGGGTGTGGGAGCTCACACCTGTAATCCCAGCCCTTCAGAAGGCTGAGGTGGGCAGATTGCCTGAGCCCAGGAGTTCAAGACCAGCCTGGGCAACATGGCAAAACCCCATCTCTACAAAAAATACAAAAATTAGTCGGGCATGGTGGCATGCACCTGTAGTCTCAGCTACTTGAGGGGCTCAGACTAGAAGATTGTTTGAGCCCGGGAGGTTGACACTACGGTGAACCATGATCATGATGCCTCACTCCACCTAGGCAACAGAGCAAGACCTTGTTGCAAAAGAAAGCAAAAACACAACACAACACAACAATGACAACAAAAAAGCCAACTTCTTGACATCTGAAAAGAACCCCTGGACTGCACTAAGCATTTGATTGTTGGCTCTAGCGGTGGATGCATCCTTCAACCTCTGGCACTCTGCAGGGCTCAGACTGTTCTGTTCTGTTTGTTACCTGTGGAGTGCCTGCCAGACCCTGCACTAGCTGCTTTAGATCCACTTACCCTCACAGACCCCCAGTCTTGTTATTCGTATTTCATAGTTGGGAAATGGAAACTTAGAAACTTGCCAAGTCCACAGCATGAGCTCCTACCTCCAGTGTCTGCTGGATTCCAGAAAGTGTCAGGGGCCAACTTAGGTGACACCATGTTCTCTGTACAATCTTAGGAATGTTCCTAGTATGATGTCCCCATTGCAGAATTTACATTTTCTTTTAACAAAACATCTTTCCAAGGAGGGGGACTTAAAATAACTGAGGTTCTTCTTGCTGAGGACATTCCTGACACAAGAGATAATTTAGCATTTCCTTTTCAAATCCTGTCATTTGTGACAATGTGGATGAACCTGGAGGATATTATGTTGAGTGAAACAAGCCACACACAGATAGACAAATACCACATGATCTCACTCTTATGTGGAATTTGTTTTTTTTAAAATAAGTTGCTTAGTCGGGCATGATGGCACACACCTGTAATCCCAGCTACTCAGGAGGCTGAGATGGGAGGATGGCTTGAGCTCGGAAGGTGGAGGTTGCAGTGAGCTGAGACGGTGCCACTGCACTCCAGTCTGGGTGACAGGACGAAACCCCATCTCAGAAAACAACAACAAAAAAGTTGCTATCTTAGAAACAGACAATAGAGCAGTGGTTATCAGAGACAGAAGGAAAGAGGGGAGGTGAGGATGGGCAGCGGTTGATCAACGGGTACAAAGTGACCATGAGATAGGAGAAACAAGTTCTGGTGCTCTTCTCCATGGTAGGATGATGGTAGTTAATAATGATGAATTCTATATATCTAAATAGCTAGAAGAGAGGATTTTCAAGATTATTATTTCAAAAGAAATGATAATTGTTTCAGAGGATGGATATGTAATTACCCTGATTTGATTATTACACAATGTATACATGTAGCAAAACATCGCATTGTGTCCCATAAATATATATAATTATGTGAATTAAATTTTAAAAAAATTTTAAAGTGTTATCTAAATGAAATTTCTAACCAGATTCTAAATCCACAATACCACTGAAACGAGCACACATGATCACGATAAAACCTCATTATATTTCCTCTGCTATCACTAACATCCTTTATTCTCTGGAAAATGAAAAGTTCTGTTGTGCTCATATCATGCAAATTATCACTAGTAGGAGAGCAGAGAGTGGAAGTGTTCCAGATATAAAGACCCACAAGATAAAGACTCTCAGAGTCGTTAGAAACAGGAGCAGATGTACAGGGTTTGCCTGACTCACACTCAAGGTTGCATAAGCAAGATTTCAAAATTAATCCTATTCTGGAGACCTCAACCCAACGTACAATGTTCCTGGCTGGAAAAGAAGAACTATATTTTTCTGATTTTTTTTTTCAAATCTTTACCATTACTTGCCCTGTATCTCCGTCTTCTCTTTCTGCAGGAAACTTTATTTCCTACTTCTGCATACCAAGTTTCTACCGCTAGATCTGTTTGGTTCAGTTGCTGAGAAGCCTGACATACCAGGACTGCCTGAGACAAGCCATAAGCTGGTGAGTTGTGGGCATTTTTTCCATTACTTTCTGATTCATAGGCTCAATGCATCTCATAGCTGGAAATGCTGGAACTGGGTACACCCTGGGGGACTGCAAAGCCTGTGCACTTGTGGGGAATGATCAAGGTGAGAGGCAGGGGTGGGGGTGGCATGTACACCAGGAGATGTCAGAGAAACCCTGAGAAGGAGCGGGGTGCAGCAGGTGATGGGGGAGAGTGGGCAGCAACTCTGCTCAGTCACCTCTCCACACACCCAGGGCCTCACTCTGCCCCTCTGAGCACCCAAGGATGTTAAAGAGCTGGAACTGTTAGTCTAAATATAGGAGCATCCAAGCTCTGAACCAAAATGTGTCCCTTGCCTCAACTCAGGAGATCCAGAGAGGCAGAAGTAAGGAATTTATTTTTCTGAAAGATAGATTTCTATCAGTTCCGGGTGACGTGTCCTGACACTTGAAATGACACCTAAGACAGCACATTTCAGGCATCTTGCTTGTTGTTCATTGTAGTAGAAGCTACATGCTAGCCAGTTGTAAAAATGAAATTAAGTAATGTGTGCATAGCATTTAACATAGCACCTGAGCTTCAGGAGCATTTAATTAATGACCACAGTTGTAATTCTTTAGGCAGATGTATTTTTTTCCAACCTTGATCAGAGGTCTTATTTAGCTTCTCCAGATTTCAAGAATCTGACTCAGTGATATGAAATACAAGACTTGTGAAAAGTGTTAACTGCAAGAGAAATGGAAGGATAAGGTACACAGGTGGATGGAAAAGAAATTCAGAGTCACTACCAGAAAAAAAAAAAGTATTGAGAATCAAGTCCTGATGATGTTAGGGCTTATAGTTCTTATTATAAAGAGTTTTATGTACTCATTCAGTGAACATTTATTGGTGCCTCCTTTAGCCAGGTACTATTATAAGAGCTGGAAATAGAAGCATAATCCAGTCCTTGATCTTAAGGAACATGCTGTGTGTAGCAGATAACATGATAAGTGCTTATCTAGATGCATGCAGTGTTATGTGATAAGAGTAATTTGACAGAGGATACAGATTAGGCTTCACAGAGAAGGGGAATGTGAGCAGGAGGTATTGAAGGGTGAACAGGGGCTCACCAACCATTTTAGGTAGAGGGGCAAGGACCTGAAAAACCACTGAAGCATGAAGGAAGTGGTGAGTTTAGGGGAAATGAAAAGAAGATGGCTGTGACTGAAGCCCAGGATTTGGGATTGGAGAAAGGGCTGGAGGTGAGGTTGAGAAGAGGCAAACTCAGAAAAGACGTTGTGCTGGGCAGTGTGGACATTATATTGAAGCCCACCACATATAAGTCACGGGGCTACTGGAGTTTTAAGCTAAGGGTGTCTTTTCAACTTCAACTTAAGAGAAGACAGGTTGAGAGGGAACATGGCTTGAGATGAGCCATGAGCAAAGGAAAGACTACAACAAAGGCAGGAGTGAAGAGTATATGAAGCAAGAAAGTGACAGTTGAAAGCAGTGCAGAGGGGATGAATCTGAGAGGCATCTATGAGGTGGAACTCAAATGACATGATAATACAGGGCATTTCTCTGTACCGGATGCTGTCCTAAGTCCTTATTCCATTGATCTTCGCAGCAACTCAGCATAGTTAATATTTTATACGTAAAGAAATTAACACTTGAAGGAGTAATTGACCCCAAATTACACTGCCTATAAGGATTCGAATCCAGGTTTGTTTGGCTCCAAAAGCTGGCTCCTAATTTTCAGAAGGGGAAGGGACCCAGAGCAATGCCCAATTTTGCTTCTTATGCAGTGGAGGAATCCACAAGCTGGAGGAGTTTTCAGGGGTGCCCCGTTTGGGGTGGGTTGAATTTGCGGTCCCCGAATGATACCCACTTTGCTCATGCTTTATCTTTAGTGCCTAAAACTGAGTATGGTTCATAGTAGGTGTTTAATAAGTGTTGGTGCAGTGAATACCTGCATGGAGAGATATGCAACAGGCAATGGGAAATTCAACTCTGAGGCTTAGGAGAAAGGTGGAGCTTGAAGACAGAGCTTTAGAAAACAGTAGCACAGAGGGGAGTAGGAACCATGAGGTTAGACAACATGATTCAGGAAGAACCTTGTGGCAAGGATAAAGATGCAAAAAATTAAACAGGTGAGACCTAAGTGTGGTGCCTGGGGAATCTTAAGGTGTGGGCACAGGGAGGAGATGCCAACAAAGAACATGAATAAAAAGTGGTCGCACAGTCCCTCCCATCTGGAAACCAAAAACAATTGTAAATGGAGGAAGTTAGCAGAAGGATCAAATGCTCCATCTGGATGGAACTGGAATAAAACCAGGGCATTTGAAAACTGGGTTGTCACTGCAATCTTAACAAGAGAAATTTTGGCAAGATGACGGAAGCAGAAAGTTGAATCTCAGTTAGAACTTTTTCGACTTCAGAGAACAGAAAATGCAGTTCATAATGGCTTTAAAACAGGGGCTTGTTTTTCTCCCAGCTCTTTGGGAGGCCAAGGCAGGTGGATCAGGAGGTCAAGAGATCAAGCCCATCCTGGCCAACATGGCGAAACGCCATCTCTACTAAAAATACAAAAATTAGCCGGGCGTTGTGGCGTGTGCTTATAGTCCCAGCTACTCGGAGGCTGAGGCAGGAGAATCGCTTGAACCCAGGAGGCAGAGGTTGCAGTGAGCTGAGATCATGGCCACTGCCCTACAGCCTGGTGACACAGCAAGACTCCATCTCAAAAAAAAAAAAAAAAAAAAAAAAAAAGAAAAGGAAGAAGATGAGTAATTCAAGGGTGGGTTTGGGACTTAGTGATTTTAGGATTCTGCCTGGCTTCTCATGGTTCTCTAGGTCTTCCATTCATGGCACCACACCTTCACTAGACATGCTACCAGAGCAGGAGGGGCAGGTGGAGGGTTCTCTTGTGTCTGCCTTATCAGGGAAGAAGAGCTTTCCCAGAAGCCCCCAGCAGACTCCCTTTTCATATTGTGTTCCAGAAATGAGTCACAGACCTATGCACCACCTGCAAAGGAGCCAGAGAAAACAAACGCCCAGCACTTTTAGCCTGAAAATGAGAATCGGGCTTGCTGGGGAAGACAAAGGGTGTTGGGAAATGGCTGTTGGGTAAATCATTGGTGTCTGCTACTAGGAATGAAAGGCAAATAAGGAACTAGCACACATGCTTTTAGGGAGATGGCTGCGAGGGAGAGGCCAAAGACTGGGAAGTTGCTTACATGGTGCCAGACTATTTGGAAGATCATGGATTGTGGTGTTTGTGTTGTGTGGTCATCATTTTGTTCTTTGTTTACATAACAGAGAAAGTGGAGTGAACAGGACACATTTCCCCAGTACATCCACAGCATGCTGTCCACATCTCGTTCTCGATTTATCAGAAATACCAATGGGAGTGGTGAAGAAGTCACCACCTTTTTTGATTATGATTATGGTGCTCCCTGTCATAAATTTGACGTGAAGCAAATCGGGGCCCAACTGCTGCCTCCGCTCTATTCGCTGGTGTTCATCTTTGGTTTTGTGGGCAACATGCTGGTCGTCCTCATCTTAATAAACTGCAAAAAGCTGAAGAGCTTGACTGACATCTACCTGCTCAACCTGGCCATCTCTGATCTGCTTTTTCTTATTACTCTCCCACTGTGGGCTCACTCTGCTGCAAATGAGTGGGTCTTTGGGAATGCAGTGTGCAAATTATTCACAGGGCTGTATCACATTGGTTATTTTGGCGGAATCTTCTTCATCATCCTCCTGACAATCGATAGATACCTGGCAATTGTCCATGCTGTGTTTGCTTTAAAAGCCAGGACGGTCACCTTTGGGGTGGTGACAAGTGTGATCACCTGGTTGGTGGCTGTGTTTGCTTCTGTCCCAGGAATCATCTTTACTAAATGCCAGGAAGAAGATTCTGTTTATATCTGCGGCCCTTATTTTCCACGAGGATGGAATAATTTCCACACAATAATGAGGAACATTTTGGGGCTGATCCTGCCGCTGCTCATCATGGTCATCTGCTACTCAGGAATCCTGAAAACCCTGCTTCGGTGTCGAAACGAGAAGAAGAGGCACAGAGCTGTGAGGCTCATCTTCACCATCATGATTGTTTACTTTCTCTTCTGGACTCCCTATAATATTGTCATTCTCCTGAACACCTTCCAGGAATTCTTCGGCCTGAGTAACTGTGAAAGCACCAGGCAACTGGACCAAGCCACACAGGTGACGGAGACTCTTGGGATGACACACTGCTGCATCAACCCCATCATCTACGCGTTCGTCGGTGAGAAGTTCAGAAGGTATCTCTCGATGTTCTTCCGAAAGTACATCACCAAGCGCTTCTGCAAACAATGTCCAGTTTTCTACAGAGAGACAGTGGATGGAGTGACTTCAACAAACACGCCTTCCACTGCGGAGCAGGAAGTCTCGGTTGGTTTATAAAATGAGGAGCAGTTTGATTGTCGTTTATGAAGAGAAATAATCCGTATATAACAACAAACTTCAAGGGTTTTTGAACAGTAGAAACCTGTAAAGCAGGTGCCCAGGAACCTCAGGGCTGTGTGTACTAAGACAGACTATGTCACTCAATGAGTGTCCAACATGTGCTCAGGGAATAATCCAGAAAACTCTGGGTAGAGACTTTGAGTCTCCAGAAAGCTCATCTCAGCTCCTGGAAAATGCCTCATTACCTTGTGCTAATTCTCTTTTTCTAGGCTTCATCATTTCTTCACTCAATCTCTGATTCTATCAATGTCTTGAAATCAGGGGCCAGCTGGAGGTGAGGAGGAGAATGTGACAGGCACAGATGAATGGGAGTGAGGGATAGTGGGGTCAGGGCTGATAGGAGAAGGAGGGAGACATAAGCATCACTGAGCCTGGACAAAGACAAAGGTGAGCAAAAGGCTCACTCACTCAGCCAGGAGATGATACTGGTCCTTAGCCCCATCTGCCACCTACATTTAACCTCGAAGGTTTCACCAGGTCATGGAGAGTTTGGGAACTGCGATAACCTGGGAGTTTTGGTGGAGTCCGATGATTCTCTTGCATAAGTGCACAACACATTTTTGCTTTATTACAGTTTATCTATGGCAACCGTGCACCCTACATTTGAAATCTATGAAATATCATGCTCCATTGTTCAGATGCTTCTTAGGCCACATCTCCCTGTCTAAAAATTCAGAAAATTTTTGTTTATATAAGATGCATCATCTATGATATGCTAATAGATGTATATGTGTGTGTGAATATATATACACACACACACACACACACACACACACACACACACTCTTGATTGATTTCTCCAGGAGGTAGTGATTATGAAAAGGAGATGGAGAATGATGAGTTCCTTCACCAGGAGCAAAGCACAGGGATCGTGTGGAACCACTGCACAACTATTTTCAGAAATAACTAAGTGGAGAGCCAGGAAGGCTGCATCAGAACCCAGTAAAGCTTCCTGTCTGGATCTGAGCTGGTTTGTTTTGTGGTTGCTGTTCCCTGCCTTGCTGCTCCCCTTGCCCCTGTCTGTTTCCCCACAGCCTTTATCACATAGCTCTTGGCTGTAGGATTGCCCCACTCCAAAAACCAGTGTGTGGAGGTCCAGGAGCGAGATCAGGAAAGAATGTGAAAGAAACTACACAAGGACTCCTTGATGGTGGTGGAAAAGGAAAGTCAAATGGCAGAGCCCCTGAAGCCAGTCTTCAGGGCAGAGAAGGAGCCTAGAGACAGAAGTAACAGATCTCTGCTTTGGAAATCACACATCTGGCCTCACGGATGTGTGATTCACAATGTGAAACTTGGTGTGTATGTTACCAGGCAGGAAGGCGAGAGGAGAGAGACTCCAGCTGGGTTGGAAAACAGTATTTTCCAAACTACCTTCCAGTTTCTCATTTTTGGATACAGGCATAGAGTTCAGACTTTTTTAAACAGTAAAAATAAAATTAAAGCTGAAAACTGCAACTTGTAAATGTGGTAAAGTGTTAGTTTGAGTTACTGTCATGTCAAGTGTGAAAATGCTGTATTAGTCACAGAGATAATTCTAGCTTTGAGCTTAAGAATTTGGAGCAGGTGGTATGTTTGGGAGATGGCTGGGTCAACCCAATAGTTGTCGATTGGCAGGAGTTGGAAGTGTGTGATCTGTGGGCACATTAACCTATGTGGATGCAGCATCTAAGTAATGATGTCATTCGAATCACAGTACACGCTCCATTGCTGTCATCTCAGCTGGGTCTCCATTCTCTCAGGCTTGTTGCCAAAAGCCTTTTGTGTTTTGTTTTGTATCATTATGAAGTCATGCGTTTAATCACATTCAAGTGTTTCAGTGCTTCACAGATGTCCTTGTTGATGCTCACATTGTTCCCTGTTTAGCTAGCGGGAACTCCTAAATCAAGTTGGCTTCTAATCAAAGCTTTTAAACCCTATTTGTAAAGAACAGAAGTTGGAGACGCTCCCTGAAGTAAGCAAAGACTTTCCTCTTAGTCGAGCCAAGTTAAGAATGTTCTTATGTTGCCCAGTGTGTTTTTGATCTGATGCAAGCAAGAAACACTGGGCTTCTAGAACCAGGCAACTTGGAACTAGATGCCCAAGCTGGACTGTGGCTCTACTTTCAGGCCACATGGCTAAAGAAGGTTTCAGAAAGAAGTGGGAACCGAACAGAACTTTCACCTTCATATATTTGTATTATCCTAATGAATGCATAAAATTTTAATTTGATGGTGATGAAATGTAAATACTGTTTTTAAAAGCTATGATTTGGAAAATAAATCAATGCTCTAACTATGTTGATAAAAGATTTAAAAACAACTGGCTGTTTTTTTTACACTGCGGTGTGGATGATTGTGTTTTGGTCACAGCTTTCCACTTCTTCCCCTGTGTGATTACACACCTGCCCTTGTGGTGTGACTTGCAGTGCGCCCTACAGGCCACCCACCCCACACCCTCCAGCACTGGCTCTGCTGCTGGCATATGAGCAGAAGTGACATCTGCCTCATCCAAGCAGAGCCTCTTGCTCAGCCACGGGAAGGCCCATTCCAGATCACACCCCTCAGCCTGTGCGCCCTGGTGAATGAGAAGACACAGGGAGCTGCAGCCACATATAACATGAGCAAGAAGTCTGTGTTTGCTGTGATTAAGCCACTGAGTTTTAGGGGTTGTTTGTTAAGAAGCACAAAATCTGATTAAGACATGTGGTATATAGTGATTTCATATATAGAATCTGGAAAACTACCCATTTATTTTCCATCATGGAATTCAATATGACAAGCACCCCGGAGGGTTGGAAACAGAAAGACAGATGTTAATGCCAGTGTCCTTTAGACCTCCAAGTCCAGGGCCAGCTGAGGAGTGGGAGGGGTAGAGAAGGTCCTGTGCACAGTCACAGTGCGCTGTGCAGAGCAGGAACAGAGGCATCTATGAAAAGTCTGAGAGCCTGGAGGACAGAGTGACTAATGCAATGACAGTCTTGCATCATAAGAATAACAACCACAGCAGGACTTCATTGCTGCCAAAGAAACTGCCATTTAAAAATTGCCAGCCATCTCATCTTCCTAAAGTGGAATCCTCAAGTCTCCTTTATTCTGGGGACTTTTGAGTGGGCTGTTCGAGTTAAGCAGGTGGAAGGTGGAGGGTCATGATTCTGAAGGATGAGTGTCTGAAGACGTTTTTGGTAAGGAAGGGTCTTGACATAGCCCACCCCATGCCACCCACCTTGATCTGTGATATCCCCAGCAGCTGGGGAGGTTGGAGCATTTTGCAAAGAGGCCCCAAAGCCTCCAGAAAGTAAGCCTTCAAGAGCCCATCCTTCCTTCCTCTTTTGGTTTTGCTCATTATGAAAACTTCCCTGACAAATTGAAAAGGCCTCAGGTGAGATTAGCCTGCAGGAAAAACCACCAAGGGCCACCCAGAGGAGCCACACTGTGACAGAAGAGGAATGTGGGCTGGTGAGCTGACCTCTGGAAGACAGTGCATGAATTGAGGGGAAGAGATTTGTTCCACGCATGGGAGCAATGAGGCTGGAAATTTCTTCAGACATTGCCACTTCGGCACTCTGTGTGTGTGTGTGTGTGTGTGTGTGTGTGTGTAAACAGAGTCCTGTAATGCAAGGTCTGGCCTTGGCAGCCCCAGCCTGGGGCCACAGTGAGAGGCGAGCTGAGGGTTATGCTGGGAAAAACTTCTCCCTCCCACCATGTGAGAGGCTCTGCGGGCCCAGCAGCTCAGCAAGCAAGGGTAAGGTCATGGACTAACATCTTACTTCATACTATCCCTTATAACACATCCTAATGTAATCAGCTCACAATAGGAAATTATTCATTTCTCTCCAATCGTTGTTTCAGTGGGGCCTTAGGGTCAACTGGATTCTGGAGGGCCCTTCCTAGAGGAGGGGATGCGTTCTGTCCCTATGTCCCCTCCTGCTCCATCCTCCACAGCATGTGCCTAGTGGTCTACCTTGTGGGGAACTCTTGTACCTCCCTCTTCTAGGCATGGACTAGCATTGAGAAGTGGGAGAGGAGGGTTAGGAAAAAGGGCAAATATAGACACACTTTGTCTTATTGTGCTTTACAGATATTGTTTGTTGTTGTTGTTGTTGTTTACAAGTGGAAGGTTTGTGGCAACCCTGCCTCAAGCAAGTCTATTGGTGCTGTTTTTCCAACAGCAGGTGTTGTTTTGCATCTCTGTGTCACATTTTGGTAATTCTCCCAATATTTCAAACTTCGTCACTATTTCTATATCTGTCATGGTGATCTATGATCAGTGATCTTTGATGTCACTATTGTAGTTGTTTTTCGGCACCACGAAGTGTACCCATATAAGATGGCAAACTTAATCAATAAATGTTGTATGTGTTCTGACTGCTCCAATGACTGCCTGTTCCTGAGACACAATAATATATAACAGGCATGAGTCACTGTGCCCAGCCCGACACAATAATATTGAAATTAAGCCAATTAATAACGCTACAATGGCCTCTAAGTGTTCAAGTGAAAGGAAAAGTCCCAAGTCTCTCACTTTAAATCAAAGCTAGAAATGATTACACTTAGTAAGGAGGACATGTTGAAAGTCAAGGCCAAAAGCTCGCCTCTTGCACCAGTTAGCCAAATTGCAACTTCACAAGAAAAGTTCTTGAAGGATATTTGAGCTCTACTCCAGGGAACACGCAAATGAAGAGAAAACAAAGCAGCCATATTGCTGATATGGAGAAAGTCTAAGTGGTCTGGAGAAAAGATCCAATCAGCCACAACATTTCCTTAAGCCAAAGCCTAATCCAGAGCAAGACTCTAACTCTCTTCAATGCTGTGAAGGCTGAGAGAAGTGAGGAAGCTGTAGAAGAAAAGTTTGAAGCTAGCAGAGGTTGGTTTGTGAGGTTTAATGAAAGACAACATCTCCATAACATAAAAATGCAAGATGAAGCAGCAAGTGCAAAGGGAGAAGCTGTGGCAAGTTATCCAGAAAATCTAGATAAGACAATTGATGAAAGTTTCTACACCAAACAACAGATTTTCAATGTAAACAAAACAGCCTTATGTTGGAAGAGGATGCCATCCAGGACTTTCAGAGCTGGAGAGGAGATGTCAATGCAAGCTACAAAGCTTCAAGGGACAGGCTGACTTTTTTTTTAGAGGTGAATGCAGCTGATGACTTTAAGTTGAAGTAAATGTTCATTTACTATTTTGAAAATCCTAGGTTCATTAAGAATTATGCTAAATCTACTCTACCTGTGCTCCATAAATGGAACAATAAAGACTGGATGATCACACATCTGTTTACAGCATAGTTTACTGAATATTTTAAGCCCCCTATTGAGAACTATTGCTCAGAAAAAAATATTCCTTTCAAAATATTACTGCTCTGCACCATGTCACTCAAGAGTTGTGTTGGAGATGTACGAGAATATTCATGTTGCTTTCATGCCTGCTAACACAAACATCCATTCTGCAGTCCATGGACCAAGATTTCAAGTCTTATTAATAAATATATTTCATAAGGCTATTAAGAAATAGCTATATATATACACACACACACACACATAGCCTTTTAGAGTTTATATAGCTGCCATTGATAGTGATTCCATTGATGGATCTGAGCAAAGCAAATTGAAAAGCTTCTGGAAAGTAGTCATTATTCTAGATGCCATTAGAAACATTTGTAATTCATGGGAGGAGGTCAAAATACCAACATTAACAGGAGTGTGAAAGGCATTGATTCCAGCCCCCATAGGTGACTTTCAGGGGTTCACATCTTCAGTGGAGGAAGTCGCTGTAGATGTGGTGGAAACAGCAAGAGAACTAGAACTAGAAGTTGAGCGTGAAGCTGTGACTGAATTGCCGCACTCTCATGATCAAACTTGAACAGATGAATAGTTGCTTCTCACAGATGAGCAGTGAAAGTGGTCCCTTGAGATGGAATCTCCTCCTGGTGAAGATGCTGTGAACATGGTTAAAATGACAATTGATTTAGAATATTACATAAATTTAGTTAATAAAGCAGTGGCAGGGTTTGAGAGCATTGACTCCAATTTTGAAAGAACTGGGTAAAATGCTATCAAATAGCATCACATGGTATGGAGAAATCTTTTGTGAAGGGAAGAGTCGACCAATGTGGCAAACTGCATTGTCATCTTATTTTAAGAAATTGCCACAGCCACCCCCAGCTTTAGCAACCACCACTCTGATCAGTAAGTAGTCATCAACATCAAAACAAGAGCTCCATCCTCTTCAGCAAAAACACTATGACTTGCTGAAGGCTCAGATGAAGGTTAGCATTTTTAGCACTAAAATTTTTTTTTTTTTTTTTTTTTGAGACGGAGTCTCGCTCTGTCGCCCAGGCTGGAGTGCCGTGGCCGGATCTCAGCTCACTGCAAGCTCCGCCTCCCAGGTTCACGCCATTCTCCCGCCTCAGCCTCCCGAGTAGCTGGGACTACAGGCGCCCACCACTTCGCCCGGCTAGTTTTTTGTTTTTTTTAGTAGAGACGGGGTTTCACCGTGTTAGCCAGGATGGTCTCGATCTCCTGACCTCGTGATCCACCCGTCTCGGCCTCCCAAAGTGCTGGGATTACAGGCTTGAGCCACCGCGCCCGGCCTAAAATATTTTTAATTAAGGTACGCACATTGCTTTTTTTGACATAATACTATTGTATACTTAATAGACTACAGTATAGGGTAAACACAACTTTTATACGCACTGAGAAACCAAAAAAGTTATTTTTGTGATATTTCCTTTATTGTGGTAGTCTGAAACTGAACTCACAATCTCACCAAGGTGTGCCTGAACCTCTTTATCTAACTGGTCACTGCCACAGTCCACTCTGTTTTGGCCAAGATGCCCCAGAGTGGCAGGCACACTGTGTGGTCACATCCAAGGGCCTAGAGATGGTGGGGGCTCCATATGGATCTAGACATGCAAAATCTCTCTTTGATTTGACTTCTTCCAACCCACCATTTTCTGGGCGCTGGGCTCGTCTCACCCAGAAAGTAGGACCCAATGTGACAGTTCCTGCCCAGTTCCCTCCTGTGGCAGCCACTTGACCCAGGGGCACTCTTGATCCTTGCAGCCTCACTTCCACACCCTATCTCTACCCCTATCACCTCTCTCCAATCCCCACTACCCCTGCTCATCTTGTCTGCTGCCCAGTGGGGGCCCCACCCATGCTGGCCTCTCCTTTTGCAAGTCCCCATTCTTCATATGGTTTCTTCAGAGCCCCTTTCCTTGGTTTTGAGGAGAGGGGTCCTCACTCTCTTCCCCACCAATCCTACCCACTTCTACAGTCCACTCGTTATCCTAATTGCCTCTGTATACAGACTGGGGTGAGAGGAGTTGATGTGATGGGTGTGGATACAGGGCTGGTGCTGTCTTCTTCTAGTAAGCCCTGGGAGAGGTGTCTGAGCCCAAGTGTCAGTGGTTTTCTTTGGATCTGTGAGTACATAACACTTCTTTGCCTTCAGCCTTAGGCCATAGTTGCTAGTTCTGGGACAACCAGAAAAGTCCTACATAATCTCGTGTTATGTGCAGAGCTGAGTATAGAGCTCCAGGTGTGATCTGACTCACTTAAGATCACAGTGAGTCTATTGTATTGTTGAACTGTTAGCTTAGACATCTGTTACTGCACCTACATTGCACTAGCCTCATGCCTAGACACTGATCTGAAAGAAATCCCCTAAATGCATACAGAAGACTTCTCAGCTGAGCTAAGGGGCTCCCACCAGGTTTGAGCCTATCTAATGAATCCATGAGGTAGACAGCCTGCACGTGTCCACCTGGTTTGATGAACTGTATAAATTCCCGTGGGGGATGTGGTCCATGGCCTGGGAAGTGAGTTACCCTGGGAAAGGGCTAGAGGACAGAGGCAGGGATGGAGACAACAGCATGGTGAGTTCCCAACCCACTCACAATGATAGGTGTCTGAGGCAGAAGGTAAAGAGGCTGTCCCCTGGTGGGTATCACAGGACCCAAGCGTCATTGCTGAGGCACGTGGATAACAAAGTGTGGCACTGGATTCTTCCTATTTCTGTGAGGATCATGGGGACTCTCTGGCTCTCCTGGTAAAGGTGGCTCTGGGGACAGGAAGAGTGTCCTTCTTGACAGGGATGTCAGAGCACTGATGGTGACAATCAGTGTGTCACTGCTCATATGACTGAACAATGGGAAGAGCCCGACTGTCTAATGACAGAACTCTGTTGAATATAATTAAGGGTATTTTGTTGAATGAATGAAGCCAGATGGGAAAGAAGACAGTATCTGTAATTCCATTTATAGAAGTTAAAGACAGGCTCATTTAATCTCTATGAAGACAGAGTGGCCTTTACCTCTGGGTGGAGCAAAAGGCACTCTCTGAAGTGATAGGGTTATCTTTTATCATCTTCATCGGGAGTGGGAGTTAAATGCATGTATGCATATCAAAACTCGCCAAGCTACACTAAGATCAGTGTGTCCTTCCTCAGTAAAAATAATAAAGAACTATACTTATAAAGAATTGTTTAATAATATAGGAAAATGTCTACACTATAATCTTTAGCCAAAAAAAAGAGCCACCTACAGAATGCTATATGCATGAGAACAATTAATCAAAAAGTTCATGGGAAAAGTCGGAATTGAAACATCATGTCTTAAAAGACATTGTTTTGATATTGTGAGAATGTACCTAATTTTTTCCTTTTTTCTGCTTTTCCCAATTTAATACAATGAGCTTGTGTTGGTTTTATAATTAGACATTTTGTTTGTTTGGTTTTGTTTTGAGACAGAGCCTTGCTGTCGCCCAGGCTGGAGTGCAATGGCCCGATCTTGGTTCACTGCAACCTCTGTCTCCTGGGTTCAAGAGATTCTCCCACTTCAGCCTCCTGACTATAGGGGCTATAGGGGCGCACCACCATGCCCAGCTAATTTTGTGTATTTTTAGTAGAGATGGGGTTTCACCATGTTGGCCATGTTGGTCTCAAACTCCTGACCTCAAGTTATCCACCCGCCTTGGCTTCCCAAAGTGCTGGAATTACAGGCATGAGCCACCGCACCCGGCCTAGACATTTGTTTTTAAAAATAAAAGATTTATTTGCTCTTTTTACAGCCCATCTCACTGTTGACTGATACTGACCAGGAGTCAACTCAGGCCCCAGGGATTTTCACAACAGCTGCTGTATGGCAGGGTTCCTGCTCACTGTGCTTGTGTAGTTGGCCCTTGCACCCGAAGTGAATAATTAACATTCTCCCCATCCTGTTGATGATGGTCTGAAAATATGGTCCAGAAATGGTGTGGGCAAGAAGAAAGCAAAGCAACGCTTGGAACATAGGTACAGCGACTAGACATGGAGCAGCTGCTTAAAGACAAAAAGGCCCCAAAAAGGAGGGATGGCACGAAACACCCTCCAATATGGGCATGGAGTCTAGAGTGACAAACTGATCAAAAGTTCATTTCCCATGGGGAGTCCGAACGTATTTAATAATAAAAAGAGAACAAGAGCCATGCAAACTGAGAAGGACAAAGTAGAAAGAGTAGCAGACACCAAGCAACTAAATCACAGCGTGATAAGCTGCTGGCTTGTTGCCATTATTGTATCCAGAACAACATTTTATTTAAATGCTGAAGAATTTCCCATGGGTCCCCACTTTCTTGTGAATCCTTGGGCTAAACCCCCCTGTCCTGAGTGATTACTAGAACACATCTCTGGACCAGAAACCCAAAAATGGAGTAACACACACTGCAAAGCTGTGCTTCCTTGTTTCGGGCTATGAATCCTCACCTTGTTTCCCATCTAGTATGTATTTTTCAAACCAACTTGTCCATGGAGTCATGTAGTATTTAGGGTGGAAGCTGCCCCAGGTCTAGCATGTCATTTAACAGATGAGGAAATGGAAGCTTGGGCGGTGGAAGTATCTTACCAAGGTCACACAGTAAGTCAGCAGCACAGTCTGTGTGACTCCGAGCCTCCTCTGCTAGCCCACATTGCCCTCTGGGGGTGAGCATGTCTTCACATCCTCCACCACCCTAATGACAAACACGCAGAACATGGCAAAGCCTCAGCTCTGCATGGTGAAAGTAAGAACCAGCAATTGTCACAAACAGAAATACAGTGTTGGTCCGGCAGCCTCCAGGAGTTCTGCACAAGTGGATTACCAGTAAATACAAGGCTATCTTTCTAAAAACCAAAGCCGTATTTATGTTATCTATTTTCTATAAAATTTTGTATTAATTTATTTGTTACCTATTTTTGAACTCTTTCAAAAGCACACTATATTTCCCTGCTTAAACAGCCCCCTGAGGGCGGGTGCCTGAAAGCCTCTACACTTGTGTCATTCCATCTCCACCGCAGGCGTATTGAGTAAGTTTGTATTTGGGTTTTTTAAAAACCTCCACTCTACAGTTAAGAAAACTAAGGCAGAGAGCTTCAATAATTTGGTCAAAGCCAAGTAGTAGTAATGACGCTGGAGGTTAAACCCAGCAGCATGACTACAGTTCTTAATCAATGCCTTTTGAATTGCACATATGGAATGAACTTGAACATTTTCTTGATGATTCACTGTCCTTGTTATGATTACCAGTTACTGAGCTCTTTTGTAACAGAGACATATGTCCCTATGTGGGGCGGGGGTGGGGTGTCTTGATCGCTGGGCTATTTCTGTACTTTTCTGGCTTTTCCCAAGCAGTCATTTCTTTCTATTCTCCAAGCACCAGCAATGAGCTTCACCTTTTCAGCTTCTAGTTTGCTGAAACTAATCTGCTATAGACAGAGACTCCAGTGAAACAATTTTACTAGGGTTTAATCAAATAAACTCTCTCTGACAAAGGATTACTGAAAGAGTAACTAAGAGTTTGATGTTTACTGAGTGTATAGTATGTGCTAGATGCTGGCTGTGGATACCTCATAGAATCCTCCCAACAACCCATGAAATGACTACTGACTGTCATTCAGCCCAACACCCAGATGAGAAAGCTGAGGGTAAGACAGGTTTCAAGTTTGGCAGTCTGACTACAGAGGCCTCTGGCTTAACCCCTGGGTTAGGCTGCCTCTGTAGGTTTGGGGGCATATAATTTTGCTGTTTGGGGTCTCCTTTGCCTTCTTAGAGATCACAAGCCAAAGCTTTTTATTTGGTCACGGAAGCCCAGAAGGGCATCTTGTGGCTCAGGAGTAGCTCTCTGCTATCTTCCAAGATCTGCTGACAATACTTGAGATTTTCAGACATCACCAACCACCAAGAGAGCTTGATATGACTGTACATAATATTGTCATAAAGAACCTGAACTTGACCATATACTTCTGTCATGTGGAAAATTTCTCATAGCTCCGGATAGATTGTATCTGGGGTGAAGAATCCTGCCACCTATGTACCTGGCATAGTGTGAGTCCTCATAAATGCTTACTGGTCTGAAGGGCCACAAAATAGTGAACAGTGAAAATCCCCACTAAGATCCTGAGTCCAGAAAAAGATGGGAAACCTGGTTAGCTCACCCACGCGCCTATACTTAAAACTCTTTAGACAACAGGTTGTTTTCATTTACGGAGTAATATTGGGTGGTGAGTTCATGTGTATGGGGAGTGGGATAGGGGATACAGGGAGAGTGGAGGAAAAGGGGGCACAGGGTTAATATGAAGTCCAGGATCCCCCTCTACATTTAAAGTTGGTTTAAGTTGGCTTCAATTGATGGCAACTCTTAAGATAATCAGAATTTTCTTACCTTTTTAGCTTTACTGTTGAAAAGCCCTGTGATCTTGTACAAATCATTTGCTTCTTGGTAGTAATTTCTTTTACTCAAATGTAGGCTTTTGACTAGATGAGTGTAAATGTTCTTCTAGCTCTAATATCCTTTATTCTTTATATTTTCTAACAGATTCTGTGTAGTTGGATGAGCAGAGAACAAAAACAAAATAATCCAGTGAGGAAAGCCCGTGAATAAACTTTCAGACCCGAGATCTACTCTCTAGCCTATTTTAAGCTCAACTTGAAAAGAAGAACTGTTCTCTGATTCTTTTCGCCTTCAATACTCAATTATTTAACTCCGCCCTCCTTCAAAAGAAACAACATTTCCTACTTTTATACTGTCTATATGATTGATTTGCACAACTCATCTGCCAGAAGAGCTGAGACATCCGTTCCCCTACAAGAAACTCTCCCTGGTAAGTAACCTCAGCTGCTTGGCCTATTAGTTAGCTTCTGAGATGAGTAAAAGCCTTAACAGGAAACCCATAGAAGACATTTGGGAAACACAAAGTGCTCATACAATTATCTTAAAATATAATCTTTAAGATGGGGAAAGGGTCAGAGTTTAGAATGAGTTTCAGATTGTTATAACATCAAAGATACAAAACATGATTGTGAGTGAAAGACTTTAAAGGGAGCAATAGTATTTTAATAACTAACAGTCCTTACCTCTCAAAAGAAAGATTTGCAGAGAGATGAGTCTTAGCTGAAATCTTGGAATCTTATCTTCTGCTAAGGAGAACTAAACCCTCTCCAGTGAAATGCCTTCTGAATATGTGCCCACAAGAAGTTGTGTCTAAGTCTGGTTCTCTTTTTCCTTTTTCCTCCAGACAAGAAGGAAGCCTAAAAATGGTCCAAATTAATATCAAATTACAAACGTCAGATAAAATTTTCCTCTAATATATCAGTTTCATGGCACAGTTAATATGTAATTCTTTATGGCTCAAAATTAAAAGTGAGCTTTTTTCTAGGGCCTTCTCCCAGCTGCCTAATCTAAGATGCAGGGAATTTGAGACTCGCAGGGTTTAATAAGAGAAAATTCTCAGCTAGAGCAGCTGAACTTAAATAGACTAGGCAAGCCAGCTGGTTATAAGACTAAACTACCCAGAATGCATGACATTCATCTGTGGTGGCAGACGAAACATTTTTTTTATTTTATTATTTCTTGGGTGTGTATGAAAACTCTTAATTGTGGCAACTCAGAAACTACAAACACAAACTTCACAGAAAGTGTGAGGATTTTACAATTCTCTGTTGGCGTCTATGAGCTTCTCGGGGGACTTGGGCGTCTGGCCATTTCACTCTGACTGTATTGCAGCACCGAACATCTGATGGTCTTGCCTTTTAATTCTCTTTTCCAGGAGTGAGAGGGAGGGTAGCATGGTAGTTAAGAGTGCAGGCTTCCCGCATTCAAAATCAGTTGCTTCCCAGCTGGGTGGCTTTGAGCAAGTTACTCGCCCTCTGTATGCTTCAAGGTCCTTGTCTGCAAAATGTGAAAAATATTTCCTGCCTCATAAGGTTGCCCTGAGGATTAAATGAATGAATGGGTATGACTCTTAGACAGTGATTGGCTTCCAGTATGTGCCCTCGAGGTCTCTTAATTATTACTGGCTTGCTCATAGTGCATGCTCTTTGTGGACTAACTCCAGAGAATGGCAGCATCAATAAACATCTTAAGACTGAGTTGCAGCCGGGCATGGTGGCTCATGCTTGCAATTCCAGCATTCTAGGAGGCTGAGGCAGGAAGATTGCTTGAGCCCAGGAGTTCGAGACCAGCCTGGGCAACATAGTGTGATCTTGTCTCTATAAAAATAAACAAAATTAGGCCAGGCGTGGTGGCTTACGCCTGTAATCCCAGCACTTTGGGAGGCCGAGGCAGGCAGATCACAGGGTCAGGAGATGGAGACCATCCTGGCTAACACGGTGAAACCCCATCTCTACTAAAAATACAAAAACAAAATTAGCCGGGTGTGGTGATGGGTGCCTGTAGTCCCAGCTACTCAGGAGGCTGAGGCAGAAGAATGGTGTGAACCCAGGAGGAGGAGCTTGCAGTGAGTTGAGATCGCGCCACTGCACTCCAGCCTGGGCAAAAGAGCAAGACTCCATCTCAAATAAATAAATAAATAAATAAATAAATAAATAACAATAAAAATAAACAAAATTAGCTGTTACAGGTGTGGTGGCACCTGTAGTCCCCAGCCACTTGGAAAGGTGAGGTGAGAGGATTGCTTGAGCCCGGGAGGTCCAGGCTTCAGTGAACCATGATCGAGCCACTGCACTCCAGCCTGAGCGACAGAGTGAGACCCTGTCTCAAAACAACGACAACAGCAACAACAAAAAGGCTGAGCTGCACCATGCTTGACCCAGTTTCTTAAAATTGTTATCAAAGCTTCATTCACTCCGTGGTGCTATAGAGCACAAGATTTTATTTGGTGAGATGGTGCTTTCATGAATTCCCCCAACAGAGCCAAGCTCTCCATCTAGTGAGCGGGAAGCTAGCAGCAAACCTTCCCTTCACTACAAAACTTCATTGTTTGGCCAAAAAGGGAGTTCATTCAATGTAGACATCTATGTATGGAATTAAAAACCTATTGATGTATAAAACTGTTTGCATTCATGGTGGGCCACTAAATACTTTCTAGGGCTTTATAAGAGATCACTTTCTACTTATTCACAGGGTGGAACAAGATGGACTATCAAGTGTCAAGTCCAACCTATGACATCGATTATTATACATCGGAGCCCTGCCAAAAAATCAATGTGAAACAAATCGCAGCCCGCCTCCTGCCTCCGCTCTACTCACTGGTGTTCATCTTTGGTTTTGTGGGCAACATACTGGTCGTCCTCATCCTGATAAACTGCAAAAGGCTGAAAAGCATGACTGACATCTACCTGCTCAACCTGGCCATCTCTGACCTGCTTTTCCTTCTTACTGTCCCCTTCTGGGCTCACTATGCTGCTGCCCAGTGGGACTTTGGAAATATAATGTGTCAACTCTTGACAGGGCTCTATTTTATAGGCTTCTTCTCTGGAATCTTCTTCATCATCCTCCTGACAATCGATAGGTACCTGGCTATCGTCCATGCTGTGTTTGCTTTAAAAGCCAGGACAGTCACCTTTGGGGTGGTGACAAGTGTGATCACTTGGGTGGTGGCTGTGTTTGCCTCTCTCCCAGGAATCATCTTTACCAGATCTCAGAGAGAAGGTCTTCATTACACCTGCAGCTCTCATTTTCCATACAGTCAGTATCAATTCTGGAAGAATTTCCGGACATTAAAGATAGTCATCTTGGGGCTGGTCCTGCCGCTGCTTGTCATGGTCATCTGCTACTCGGGAATCCTGAAAACTCTGCTTCGGTGTCGAAACGAGAAGAAGAGGCACAGGGCTGTGAGGCTTATCTTCACCATCATGATTGTTTATTTTCTCTTCTGGGCTCCCTACAACATTGTCCTTCTCCTGAACACCTTCCAGGAATTCTTTGGCCTGAATAATTGCAGTAGCTCTAACAGGTTGGACCAAGCCATGCAGGTGACAGAGACTCTTGGGATGACACACTGCTGCATCAACCCCATCATCTATGCCTTTGTCGGGGAGAAGTTCAGAAACTACCTCTTAGTCTTCTTCCAAAAGCACATTGCCAAACGCTTCTGCAAATGCTGTTCCATTTTCCAGCAAGAGGCTCCCGAGCGAGCAAGTTCAGTTTACACCCGATCCACTGGGGAGCAGGAAATATCTGTGGGCTTGTGACCCGGACTCAAGTGTGCCGGTGACCCAGTCAGAGTTGTGCACATGACTTGGTGTTGATACACAGCCTGGGCTGGGGGTGGGGTGGGAGAGGTCTTTTTTAAAAGGAAGTTACTGTTACAGAAGGTCTAAGATTCATCCATTTATTTGGCATCTGTTTAAAGCAGATTTGATCTTTTAAGCCCATCAATTATAGAAAGCCAAATCAAAATATGTTGATGAAAAATAGCAACCTTTTTATCTCTCCTTCATATGCATCAAGTTATTGACAAACTCTCCCTTCTCTCCAAAAGTTCCTTATATATATTAAAAAGAAAGCCTCAGAGAATTGCTGATTCTTGAGTTTAGTGACCTGGACAGAAATACCAAAATTATTTCAGAAATGTACAACTTTTTACCTTGTACAAGGCAACATATAGGTTGTAAATGTGTTTAAAACAGGTCTTTGTCTTGCTGTGGGGAGAAAAGACATGGATATGATTAGTTAAGAAATGACACCTTTCATGTGTGATTTCCCCTCCAAGGTATGCTTAATAAGTTTCACTGACTTTTAGAACCAGGCGAGAGTCTTATGGCCTGGGAGAGCTGGGGAAGCCTCTTAAATAAGAAGGAATTTGAGTTGGATCATCTATTGCTGGCAGAGACAGAAGTCTCACTGCAAGCACTGCATGGGCAAGCTTGGATGTAGAAGGAGACAGAGCTGGTTGGGAAGACCTGGGGAAGAAGGACAAGGCTAGGTCGTGAAGAACCTTGATGGCATTGCTCTATCTAAGTCATGAGCTGAGCAGGGAGATCCTGGTTGGTGTTGCAGAAGATTTATTCTGTGGCCAAAGGAGGGTGAGGAAGGATGAGCATTTAGGGCAAGGAGACCAGCAACAGCCTTCAGGTCAGGGTGAGGATGGCCTCCGCTAAGCTCAAGGCTTGAGGATGGGAAGGAGGGAGGTATTCATGCAGCATATGAGGATATGGAGTCAGCAGAACTAGGGTGGATTTGGGTTGAAGCTGAGGGGCAGAGAAGATTCAGGAGAAGCCCTAGCCTTCAAGCAGATTGGAGAAGCCCTTGAAAAGACATCAAGCACAGAAGGAGGAGGAGGAGGTTTAGGTCAAGAAGAAGAGGGATTGGTGTAAAAGGATGGGTCTGGTTTGCAGAGTTTGAACACAGTCTCACCCAGACTCCAGGCTGTCTTTCACTGAATGCTTCTGACTTCACAGAGTTCCTTCCCATCCCAGCTCAAATACTGAGGGGTCTCCAGGAGGAGACTAGATTTATGAATACATGAGGTGTGAGGATTAGGAACATACTTCAGCTCACACATGAGATCTAGGTGAGGATTGATTACCTAGTAGTCATTTCATGAGTTGTTGGGAGGATTCTATGAGGCAACCACAGGCAGCATTTAGCACATACTACACATTCAACAAGCATCAAACTCTTAGTTACTCATTCAGGGATAGCATTGAGCAAAGCATTGAGCAAAGAAGTCCCATAGAGGTGAGGGAAGCCTGAAAAACTAAGATGCTGCCTGCCCAGTGCACACCAGTGTAGGTATCATTTTCTGCATTTAACCGTCAACAGGCAAAGGGGGGAAGGGACATATTCATTTGGAAACAAGCTGCCTTGAGCCTTAAAACTCACAAAAAGTACAATTTACCAGCCTCCGTATTTCAGGCTGAAGGGGTTGGGGGCGGGGCCCTTAGGTACTCATTCCAGATGCCTTCTCCAGACAAACCAGAAGTAACAGAAGAAACCTCTCTCTCTCCCTTTGAAATGAATACACCCCTTAGTGTTCTGGTATATTCATTTCAAAGGGAGAGAGAGAGGTTGTTTTCTGTTGCTTCTCTTATGATTGTGCACATACTTGAGATTGTTTTGAATTTTGGGGATGGTTAAAACCATCATAGTATATAGATAAGGTGAGGGAATAGAAAGTGGTGAGAACCACTCAGGGAATGAAGGTGTCAGAATAATAAGAGGCGCTACTGACTTTCTCAGCCTCTGAATATGAACAGTGAGCATTGTGGCTGTCAGCAGGAAGCAATGAAGGGAAATGTCTTTACTTTTGCTCTTAAGTTGTGGAAAGTATAAGAGTAGTATAGGACCCTACCCTCTGGGCCAAGTCAAAGACATTCTGACATCTTAGTATTTGCATATTCTTGTGTATATGAAAGTTACAAGTTGCTTGAAAGAAAATATGCATCTAATAAAAAAACCTTCTAACATAATTCATTATATTCTCGCTCTTTCAGTGTACATTTAGATAATAGCACATAAAACTGCCAAAGTATTTTATAAGTAGCTGTTTTCTTCCTTAGTGTGTGTGTGGTGTATGCAAAGAGAGAGATAATTGTATTTTTGTATTTTCTTTTAAATAATTTTTAAAATTCACTCTTTTCCTGAGACAAATTGCCAGAATAGTTTGTATTTACAGACGATACCTCTAAGAGTAGGGTTGTTGAGCAATTGACTTGAAAACTTTTAAAATTCAAATTTTAATTCCACTACTCAAAAGAATTGCCATGTTTTAAAAAATAGAATCGGTGCCGTAAATCAGTTGTCTATGTTTGAAAATGAAGAAGACATGCAACGTCATGGCCTGGTCACTTACCCGCAGCCCTGTGTTGTAGGCACATCACACGCGAGAATGAGGATATGCTTTTCTTTCATTTAAAATCCCTCCCCAAAACTTGGCTCTAATTGCAATGATGACAATCATGTACATTTGGATTTATGTGCAGGAGTCTCTTACCCTGAGAGAGGACAGGTGCTCCAGGTGGAGGGGACCCGTCTGGGTCACGTTCACTTCTTGAACATGCTGGTTTTCAGTCACTGCACACTCATCTCCCAGCGCAGGTCATGGGCAGCAGATGCAAGAGCTGCCCATGGTCCTATTTGGAGGTATATGACATGAGCAGAAGACAGAATAGCTGGATCTGACTAGAAGGGCAGCTTCTCCCTACCAAGACTTGAAGGATTGCCTTTCATCTCTTAGGCTAAAAGGTAGAATGAACCAAGGAAGGGCAGGAGGAGGCTAGGGTTAGGGTAGAAGGAAGGGACCATGGAGAAGGGAGATCCATCCCATAGGATGAAGGCAGTGTGGCAGGGAGATTGGAAGGTGTCAGCTTTTATGGCTGACATAAATGCAGCCATGTCAATTGCTGCTTTTCCTTTTCCACCTTATTAAATGCCTTCCAATGTTAGCACAAAGAAAAGCTATTTTCAGTGTTGCCAGCCTTTCCAGAGCCCATTCCCATTATCTCCCCAGGCCCATGCCTTTACTCCTTGGAGTTTCAACTCACGACCTTCAGGATCTGACTTTATTCACCATCTCTGGGATGAATGTACCTTCTCTTTCACCCAGAGGTCCCTATCAAAGAAGAGATTGCATGCCATGGATAAAGTCAAAATAGAGGTGACTGTCCTTAACAAGGAAGACTAATGTGCAAATTCATAAACTGGGATTCTGTTTACGTTTTGTACTCCAGGGGTTCTTAGTTTAAATTGCTCTGAATAAATTAAGATGCATTGGCATTTCCACTGTAACGATTAAATTTACAAATCATTTATTTTCTATCGGTGGAGAGATAGAGTTCCAAATGCAAACATTAACTGTTCAAGTGTTAACACCTCTAATGGCAGCATAAGAATTACCACCAACTACCCTGGGGGCTGGAGACAGAAATGTGAACTGGAAAACAAATCACGAACTTTCCTTTTTTGTTTTTTTTTTGAGATGGAGTCTTGCTCTGTTGCCCAGACTGGAGTGCAGTGGTGCGATCTCGGCTCACTGTAACCAGAGCCTCCCAGATTCAAGTGATTCTCCTGCCTCAGCCTCCCGAGTAGCTGGGACTACAGGTGTGCACCACCATGCACGGGGAAATTTTTGTATTTTTAGTAGAGATGGGGTTTCACTGTGTTAGCCAGGATGGTCTCGATCTCCTGACCTCGTGATCCGCCCGCCTCGGCCTCCCAAAGTGCTGGGATTACAGGCTTGAGCCACTGCGCCCGGCCAACAAATCATGAACTTTGTAACTGCCGTTCCTTGTAGCTTGTTAACACATCCACTTACTTATCATCAGAGTATGTAGAGATTTTCCACAACCCTCAGGGATAAGGCTGAACAGAAGAGGAAAAAACATGAAAACATTTCGATAGCTCCTTTACTTTGAAATAAAATTCACTGTAAAAGTTGCTTGTATTTTTCCAAAACCGAGTCAACCTTTAATATTTAAGATTCTATATACAAATACATATTTTATATATTAATATATAATGTCATATGACACACACTATATCTTTATATTAATATGCATGCATATAATATCTATCTCCTTCCTAATTTTCTATAAGCAATTTTACAAGTCTGACTTTTATTTGCCTCCTTATTGTTAGTACATAGTTTGATAATCCGTTTTGTGTCGTTGTGATTCTGTCGTGTTTTGGGGACTTATTTTTGTTTCTCTGGGTGGTCACTAGTTTTTTTAAAGCATTCATGGAAGAGTGTGAATCTTTTTCGAGCTAGGAAGCCATGGCAAGCCTTGGGTCATACTGCCCCCGTGAGGCCACATTGGCAAATGAGCAAGGGTGTTCAACCTCCAGCCTTGGCCGTGGAGAAGACACGCGAGGAGGCTTTTCACATTCAGCTGTTTAATGTTTGTCTCTGCTGGCACCATTCCAGTTGTGAAAAAGAGGTATTTCCACAGCAACTCAGGGTAGGTAGTGCACAGCTCACATTCATCATTTTTGAAGACCGAGAGGAGTCTCCATTCGGGATACAGGTTGATGCCTGTTGTGGAATGAAGGTTCCAACACCCAGACCAATCTCTGCAGTATGCTGATCTCATGACCCTACAACAAGATCAGAAAGTGTTTTGTGACTAAGCATTTTTCATAATGCATAAAATGCTCCAAGCTCCTCCTTTGTTTCTCTCTATGATCCTGTATATCTGATGGTTGTGGGTACCAAGTGTTTGAAATAATCAAATGTGATTTGATGTTGGTAAATTTCTTTCTCATTTGCACTCTCCTTTCTCTATTATTGTTTATGTAACTGAACCTCAGATTAGTAACTCGTTGCTTGCAGAATCCAATTTAACAAGAGTGAGGTCAGGTATAAAGCAAATGATTTATTCTAAACCTCCTTCAGGGAAGACGTGCAGGCTCCTGCCTCTAAATGCACTGCTTTGCTGGGCATGGTGGCTCACGCCTGTAATCCCAGAACTTTGAGAGGCCAAGGAGGGTGGATCACTTGAGGTCAGGAGTTCGAGACCGGCCTGGCCAATATAGTGAAACCCCCGACTCTACTAAAAATACGAAAAATTAGCCAGGCATGGTGGCAGATGCCTGTAATCCCAGCTACTCGGGAGGCTGAGGCAGGAGAATCGCTTGAACCTGGGAGGTGGAGGTTGCAGTGAGCCAACATCTTGCCACTGTACTCCAGTCTGGGTGACAGAGTGAGACTCTGTCTCTAAATAAATAAATAAATAGTAAATGCACTGCTTTGCTTTTGGAGCAGAAAGCAGGCACTTTTAAAAGGCAGGGGAGGAAGTGAGCAAGGGCAGGGGGTTCTGCATGCTGGCATAGTTGGTGCCTAATCTATCGGGCAGTTGAGTTGGCACTTTCATAGGCAGAAATAGGTTGAAAAAGTGACCTAAAACTCTCTAGCTGGGAGAGGGTAGTGGACAGGCCTTCAACCTGCCTTCCTGGAGGGTGAGCTCCATGGCAACCCCCTGGAGGGTGAGAGTTCCATGGAGGTCATGCTTTGGGCTGTAAATCGGCTGTTAACTCACTAGAGAGTTCTGTCTTGGAGCATATAGATGAACTTACCCTGTAAAGAATGTCTGTTGAAGGGGAGGTAAAAGGTGAGATTTGCATTTCTAAAGGGCTA